TGATGAGAACAGTCAGCAGAAATTACTTCAAAATAGACAAAGGAAAGAATTTAGAAGAAAAAATGTGAAATATAACTGCTGGCTACAATTACAGATGGCATGCCTTCTTTCTGAGGCTTTTGGTTTCCCTGTACAACACTAAAAACACTAAATAGATTCTTCTAGCACACACATATATATTAAATAAAATTGGAAGCACATTTTAGGGAAGAATTAGTTCTTTGGTATAATAGCTAACAGGCTAAAATATATTTGTTCACTTAAATATTTGTATTGTGTTCAGTAGGGACTATCACATGCATATCCAGCTGCTATTAGATAATTTTATTCCAGACTATACATATTCTGGCATCCCTAGAGACAATTAGGAAATTCAACCACGAGATATTGCTGAACTGTCTTTATCTCTCTTTTCTTCAAACATTCAGGCTGACAAGACCATAATTATTAAAATATATATAGTCCTCACATTACCATCCCAGCCTGCAAAGTTTATTCAAATATTATCTCTTCATGACCATGTTTCTAATAGAGTATTTCGGTTTACTTTCTCAAAGAACAATGGGTTAAATTCATTGTGGATACAAATGAAGATGTCTGATGTAAGCTAACACTGGAATTTCTCTAACTAGACAGAAGAATGAGAGCCTATGGGATTTTAGTGTTTTGTTTCAGAAATGAAATTACTTTGCAATCACACAAAATAAAGGATAAAATAGGATATTAAAAAAAAAAAAAAGGAAGTAAAATAAAAGCTTTCCTTTGAGCTAAAAATGGCCCTCTTACTTAAGTAATAATGCTGTCACTAGCACTTTTATTAAATGTTCTAAACTGAGAATTCTGTAGCTCTGACAGGTCAGATTTCTACTTGAAGAAAAACCCCATTTTAGTCAGGGTAATAATATATTCTAGTTTTCAATAACAAGAAGCTGTGATGCACAACTAATGAAAGCTACAGTGCACAGGGACAGAAGTCTTTGACCTCTTCCTTGAAAGAGGCTGGAACATCCAGGCATATGGATCCTAGCACTCCAGGTGACAGGACATAGGGAATGTATCACCAGTAGGAGACAGAGCACTGGCTCTGTGTGTTGTCATGTTAAAAATGCCAGAGTCTCTTTGTCCCAACTTTCACTGCCTGAAAACCCAAAACTGAACCTGCCAAATTTTATCACAAGGAAAGCAAATAGCCTGGGTTTCAGGGGTTAAATGCAGTACATGATTAAACACAGCTCTCCATCGGATTATTTGGTGAACCTTTAGCTCTCAACATGAGACACTGTTTCTATACAGAGCTGCCTGGGTGTCCTGAAGTGTCCCAGTCTGTGTCTTTTTCGTTGTTTCTTATTCACTAAAACACGTACTCAGCTTTTGAAAATTTGACATCTGCCAAGGATAGGTGTTAAATGACTCCATCAAATACAATACAGCAGTGAAAAAATACCGTTCCCAAAGCATGAGACAGTGCATGCAGGATACCATTGAGTTTTAATGATTCAAATCATCTGCTTGCATTGACTTTGGCTGAGATTTTCAGGGAAAAAGAGAAGTTGGAAAGAAGAAAAAAAAGAAAAAGTTATAACTTCTCCTAATCACATTTCTCAGTGCTATGAGGAAAGAAGGACAGTTTCATGATGAAGATATAGGTCAGGACATGGAAGATCTACTTCAAGGTCCCAGTTTGCCTTTGTAATCTGGACAAATCATTAAGTCTAGGTTCTTATGGAACTGAGATGAGTCAGCTTCCTGCAGGCAGTTTGTTCATATAGGTACTTCCCTTCAGAATTATCACCAGCATATCTGTTACTACAGCAGTTGTGCCTTTCTGATGGGACGTTTAGCCACAAATTTCATGTCGCACCTATAAATTATGCAGAGCAGGACTTTGGATCTAGCTCTTCCATCCTAGAAATAACACAACCTAAATTTTTGATTCATCAGAACATGCACAAACATATATGCTGATGCTACTGTGCTAAGCCTGTATCTACTGACAGTCTGCAACCACCTTAGATGAACACATAAGACAGGGCCCAGCTAAGGAGACATAGTCATTTTGGGCAGGTTTTGCCTTCAGTCTTAATTCTAACCCAAATAACCAGGGGATGATTTAAGTGGTTTCTGATAATGCCACCTGGCAAAAAAAGAATGAACCAGAAACAGCTCAGCGATGTATCTGAGCTCATCAACAGCAGTCAGGCACACACAGGGGAAGTTGCATGTATTTGTACTGTGCCCAAGACAATGGTTCACAGATACTAGGAAAGGTTTTGAATACTCTTGTTGTTCAATGAATTTGGAGAAGCTACTCAGAGTTTCAATAGCAATTCACATTTCATAGAATCTAGTTTGCTTCTGAGTGCCATGAGCACAATAAGACAGTCTCACCACACAGCCTAACATCACCCAATTTCTTATGAAGAGATGTAGGACATCATGCTTGGAAACCTCTACAGTGTCTTTGGGAGCCATTCCCAGAGCTGCTGGAGCAGCAGCTGTGGAAGATTACATCAGGATCCCAGTGACAGAACAGGAGCTGAGCAAATCACTAAGGTCATTTAAGGGCACAAGTAATTTAAGGTTGAATGTAGGAATTTATTGTGGAAGGAGTAAAATAAGAAATTTCTTCTAAATGAGCAATATTACTCAATAATTTACTATTTGTACTTCAGCCTACACAAATATTATATTTTTGACACACGTCATAAAACATGATTTCATTGGAGATGCTGGAACTCATACTACAGTTTCATGGGTTTTAATTTTTTAATGGGACCAGGCTGGGATGATAACTGTTAAAGTAATAAAGGTTTATATACCCTTTATATATTTATATATCCATTCCAACATTCTTCTATGATGATCACCATGCGCTACAAGTTTCTCTAGTTATGTAAAAGAATTCAATCATTGCAATAAGCATTTCCAAATCTTAAGTCATCAGTCTATTAAATGCCTTGTCTTGTTAATAGACAAATGTCTTACAGAACTGGATTCAAAAAAGACAGAAGTGGCTTCTAAGAATATTAAGAAAAGTTAAAAAAGCAAACACCAAGAAAATTTCAAGAGTCCAGAGTATCAGTCCCAAAAGTGGGAAGAAAGGCAATGCAGTATCCCATCTTTAACAAAAGGAATCATTTATCATGACACTTGAATGGCTGAGACAATGCAAATCTGCTAATGTGGGATTATATTTAACCAATTTAGAGAACAAATTAGAATAAAAGGGTGTCTTGCACATCAAATTGCTATGGAGGTCCAAGGCAGGGCAGAGAAATAGCTGTGAAAAATGCTCTTCCAGCAGCAGAAAAAGCAAGGTTGCACAGGGTACAAAGAAGCCCCATTGAATACAAGGCTATACAACGTTCTGCCACACAAACGGGAAGATGTATTTCCAAACACAGAATTATTGATCTTCAAAATCTACCTTCTCCAATGACTTATTAAATCTCCTTTTTTTGGTGGGTTTTGGTTTTTGGTTTGTTTGGTTTTTTCCCTGGTAGGATTATGCATGTATTTTGAAACTGTTTCAATGGAAACTGCACTCACTGCAGACTGGAAAGCTGGAAGTACCCTGCGTCCAAAGCAATGGGGACTTTTCCTATCCTGGTGTAGCCTTGCTCCAAAAATAGCAAATTTTGATCATTTAATATTCCCAAGTAATTTTTCTATTTCTTTTGCTTGTTTGTCGGGTTTTGGTTTTTTTAAAGTACTTCCCCCCATTCTGCTTTCTTTTCCCAGATCCTTGAGCCACTGCTCATACTGTAACAGAAAACATTGCTGAGAAACAATTCTCTCAGCAAAGAACAAAAAGGGAGTTTTATTCCCATTCTTTACAAATATTGGCGTGTAAAAAAGAATAGTAGAAATCAAAATGCAGAGATGTTAAGGAGACACAGGCACCACGGTGAGAAGGATTTTGTTTTCATCTTTTCTCTTTAATTCCTTTCATAGCTTGTTGAATGTAATCAAGCAAAGTAAAGCCAATGAAGGGTTTTATAAGGAAGGGACAGTTCCTCTATCTTCAGATGTTACAATAGGATTTTTAAAACATAGGTAATCTAGTAATTCCTAACCAGAAACAAATGTCTGTGGTTAAAGCAGATTGCTTTGCTAGGGCCCAATGTCTGACTCAAAAGTCAAAAAAAGAACTCAAGAGCATATATGCTTGGATTCATATTAATTAATTTCAACTGTTTTTTCAGGTGAAATTATTATAGGTTAAAATGGTAAAGAAAAAGAAATACTGATTGCCCAAGCAGATAGGAAGATTAAACATATTAAGTCTGGAATCTGCAAACAAAAAATATACTATTTTCCAGAACTTACAACAATTTCTTTAACATAATTAGAGGCAGGTGTCAGGAGGTAAGACTACATCAGTTACATTCTCTGTTAATTTCAAAGCACGAATTCATGTGATTTTACTTCTCAAATTATTGCATTGTTTATTTAATTAGTATTAAAATATAAGATAACTATAAAAAATTCAGTTTCTTAGTGTGTGTCTACACTTCAGCCTGCTGTCCAGTGTAAATATGGGCCAACTTGTCTGCCAACAACAGCCTTTCTACTTCAGCCAAGAAGTGAGGTAAATAAGCTCTACTGGTAAGAATAGGCACTTTCTAGTCTCCAACCTGGCTTGCTTATAACAACTTTAGATTTTACTATATCACACCGTTGCTGGCAGTGTTGACATACCCTCATTTTAACAACTCTGTGGACAGCAAGAAGCCATCAGCAAAACACACCGTGGCTCTCAAAAACAGCTTCAGAGCTGTGAGCTGCTAGTGAATAGCAGTCTCTGTGAGAGCAGCATGATTTATAATCGGTATACAGAGCCCCCATGATTAATATTCATGCTACATATCCCAGAATAAATAGGAGATGCCAGTCTGATTCAAAGCCCTCTGAAATTGATGGAAACCTTTCCACTGACTGCCATGGGCTCTGGGTCAAGCCTCAAGCATCCATGTGTGTTCATCCCTTTTAAAAAAGAAGGAATTCACTCTCCACATGTTTCAGTCCCTCATATTTATTGTCAGCAAACCTCTGGCAAAAAAATGCCTGCCCCTGCAATGAGACTCTCACTGAAACCAGTTGGAGCTATATATACAGAGACTGAGGACATAATCTCAATGTAAAACCAATAACAAACTGGAAAGAAACTTGATTTTGAAATCACACAAGACAAAATTCAGTGAGAAAGTGAATGTTTGTTTGTAAGAAGTATAAAATAACTCAGATTCTGTCTATCTGCAGGTTAAGAAGAAAATTTTCAATGAGGCACATTGAACCTTCATAATATAACATTAAAATAACCCACTCATATAAATCTAATACCATTATAACCATCTTCCTTAAACACTGTAATTATATCGTCCAAGGGTAAAGTACCCAAATGTTAATTAAATATGGCCATTTAAATTATTTTATGCAAATATTTTTTTAGTTATTAAAGGAATTTAATACTACTTTTAGCTGTCTTTGTTAAATGCAGATTGACAATGAAGTTAAAGAATAAAACCTCATTTATTTTTATGCTAGTTTATAAATTTTCTGAAGTCCAAGTCCTCTCACAATAGTGTACAGTAATTGGATTAAAACTACCTTCAAATACTTTCCACCACATCTTTTACATGAAACACCTTGCAAAGCCCACAATGTCTATATAGTAACTTTACAGTGATTATCAAAAAAATACTATGGAATTAAATAAAAGTGTATTGATATGGATTCTCCTACCCAAGCAATGAAATCCTAGCACCATACAAAATACCATGATTCAAAACTGAGTGCTGACTCTCCTTCTCTCTCTTTCTTTCCTTTTAATAACCAAACAAATTATTTTCCAAAGCACAACTGTTAATACACAGATTGGTTTCAAGAGTAGTTTTCAACAGTAATTTTTTCCTGCATTTTGCTTCAAGATGAAAAATATGAAGTAAAAAATGAAAAAGGAAAAAGATACAGGAAATTAAGTCCTAAGGTCAATTAACAGTGAGTCCCCACAGAGGCAAAAGTGGACATTTCGCGACGGATGGTACTGAAAGGGGAGAGCTCCAGTTCTGTGGTGTACTCATTGTCATTGTCATCACTTGTCACTGTGGAAGACTTCTGGATGCATTCATCACAGCAGCAACAGCAACACTCCATAAAGGCCCGGCTGAAAGGTTTACAGAGGCAGAACAGCAGAACTGGGGTAACACAGGACTTAAAGAACAAAAGGAACTGGCTAATGAGATGGAGGAGGTCCATTGTCTGCCGAGAGACCCCTGTGGACATGTAGGCAGTCACAATGTTGCAAATATTTTCAGGAATGATGCAAAACCCATATAAAATGGTCAAAGCCACCACTGTGCAGTTCATCTGACTTTCCAGCTGAATTTGTCGCTTGTTCCCCCTTGTGCAAGCCTTTTCTGCTCTCCTGATTTTCCTTGCTGTCACCAGGGAGCAGGTAATAGTGAAGAGGGTAGGCAAACAAAAATAGCAGCCGAAGTACCACCAGAGTCGTGCTCCATCGTAGGTGAGAGCTAACACGTAGATGGTGTCAGGCAGTGCAGTGGATATCTTCACCACGCAGCGCTCACCTGGGGGGCTGCCACTGTACTCGGGGTCCTCCTTGGCCAGCTGGCGCAGCACCACCTCCGGCAGGGCCAGCAGCAGGGCACCCACCCAGATGACAGCCAGCTTGGCTGTTGTCGAGGTGCAGTTTTCGATCATCTCATAATACATCTGCACGTTGGTGGCGGCACGGAAACGGTCAATGCAGAGGGCACACAGTGTGAACGTGGTAACTCCGAGAGAGGCCACCTGAGGAGGAGGAAAGGCAATACAAGTTAATACAGGCGCTGTCTGGGGGGGGAAAGGAAAAAGACATAGGGGAAAAAGGGGAAAAGACAGCTACAAGGGTACAGTCCATTATTCACTGAAGAGCAGGGAAAAGATTATATCCTTCAAAAGTGCCCTGGTCCCCTGTTGATGCTACTCTTCTCTGAGAGAGATGATAAAGTCCTGAACTCATTCAGGCTGAAGAGGGAATTTATCTATTGTACATTGGATGAAGACTCTTACCACTGAGCTGTTCTCTGGAAGAGGTATATACTCTTTCATTGCTAAAAAGAGCTCAATCTGCACCCTGGAACACCAGTCAAGTCTAGCCCCTTGACTAGCAAAGTCAAAGGAAAACAGTTTAGGGGTATCAGTGTAGGTGCTGAGCACCATTAAAAGAAGCATCACAGACAGAATTCAGCTTCCAGTGCTTGCTGAGCCATCATCCAGCATGCATTACAAAAGAGTATGTCCTTTTATTTTCTGCCTACAAATACTTATTCCAGCTTGGTGTCATCCTCTCCTGGAGAGCCAAGCAAGCATTTGTGCAACACGAAGTGGAAAAAATAGAGTAACTGACCAAAATTTAAAACTAAACCACTCCCTTCTCCACTTTTTCTCAAAGGGATGTTTTTCAGAAAGACTGGTTCTACCACAGAGGTTGGAATTTTAAGTAAAAAGGGGAGAGATAGGAGAGTCTTCCTTCAGCAGCAATACAAACTTACAACAACATCACAAATTCATCAAGCATGCAGGAGATCATAACATCGAAACCTTCCATATCTACAAAACTTAGAAACCCAAGAGATTAGGCATTTGCTGAATTGAGTAGGGTCCAACAACTATTTCTGCAGACTTAGACTTTTAAGTGAAATTTTGATGGGACATGAAAACTCACATACTGTGAGCTCAAAGAAATTGTATCGTAAACCTTCAGACTTCCAGAGCCTGTGTAAAACTAACCTTCACCATAATAGTTAGCCTCTAATCTATATTCAACATTTCACTTAGAAAAAATTCATAGGAAAATCCAGGCTTACTTTCATATGAAACATCCAATGGGAGAGTGTATTGCAGGCCAGGAGAAATGGAAGAAGTCCCATTCTTTAAATGATTAAAGATGAATTGGACAGAGCTCTCAATTGTATACTGTGAGGAAGAAGTCCAGAGCAATGCTTATGCTCTCTAGCTTTAATAACCATCATTCTATGCATGAATAGAGATCTTGTACTGTCATGAAACATCATTTCCTATCATTCTTTCCTGTTTGTAATTCAATTTCCTAAAAAAGAAATTTGCAAGAAGAGTATATACATTTTGGCCTAATTCTATTAACAATAAATTCAGCTTCAGTTCAAATTCAAAGCAGAATGCCCATTAACTTCAATTGGAAAAAGATTAAGTGTGCTGCTGCATTTTAATTCACTTATTTTCTTGGGTTTGCATGCTTGTGTTATGCTGAAAATGTGTTGATGCAGAAGAAAATAAACTGTTAAATAAATGCTAAGTATGCTTACTTTTATCATGATAAGCCATGTATCTGTGCAATTAACTAGGAAATCTAAGGTAACATCAGGCAGTTCACTACAATTTTGCTTACCCAAATTTGATAGGTAATGATACATTCAAATTTCATATAGGCAGATTAAAAAAATACTTTCTGATTTCCACCGTAATACTGAAATATTCCTGTTTATGCATCTCTTGCAAAAAGTTCTGGAAAGACAGACAGCACAATTATATAAATGCATCATTAATTTTGCCCTTCAATATTTAATAGCCATATCAGATTGCTAAAATTGAGTATCACTGAAAAATATTAGGCACTTGGGATTAGAACTGTCAGACACTGGCTTGGTTGGAGAATTCTTTGAAGCAGCTTCCTAAAAGATGGAGTAGTAAGATGAAATCTCTTACTAATTAACTTGCAGGAATATTTAATGATGACAAGGCAGTACCATAATCATTTTTAATAGGCAAACATATTGATTTAGGAAGTTAAACTGTCTGACAAGATTCAAAGAAAGCTTGGTAAATACAGCAAAAAAATAAAAACAATTGAAGAAAAATTACAGTTACAGGGAACTCTAATGAACTTAACTAATTAAACATGATTTTCCTGTAACACATATTGCAGCCAGATTTTTTAATTCAAGATTAGTGACTTTGTTGCAAAAACATTTAAATGTGTGTGCAGCCTTCAAATTTCTTAGTGGCAGCAAAACCTTTGGCCTGAACATGCAACACGATTAACAAAAGGGCCAGGACTCAGCTCGTTAAAATTACAGGAGACAGGGAAATCAGTGAGATATGGGAATGAATAGAGACTAAAATAAAAATCAGCAGTACAGAAGAAAACCTGAGTTTTTATACATTAACATCTTCCCTCTCAGCTCTTAGTGAGCCTCCCTCCACCCCCAACACACACACTTCCACTGCTTCAGCATTTCATTGCAAACAGACTGTTACACAGCAGCTAAGATATTAAAACTCTGCAGCTGTTAGGGCTGGACTAACGAAAGAAGACATGCCTACCGTGAACAAACATAACCTACGGGGCTCCTGTCACATTAATTGACCAACAACTTGGAGGTTTAAGACAGTGAAATAGAGCAAGAGGAAACAACTAAGAATACTGGAAGAAGGCTTAGAAAACTCTCCCATGGATTTCCTGATGAAATGAGCTAAACAAAGCCAGTGTTTCTCTGGAACAGGCAACAGTTCCCTATTTTCTGTAGATTAATGGAGTTAGTGATGCCATGGAAAAGCTTGCAAAAACCAAACAAGCACGGTCAAGCAGATGAACAGGGATTCACTCCAGCTGACTTGCTTAAAGGCAGTACAGCAATTTAAGGGTTGGATTACTTACCCCACACTGCAGACTATGACTAATAGCCACCAAAATCAATGGGTGCTGTTCAAAACCTATGTGGGCAAGAACTGGGACATGCATTCTGCATGTTCACACAATTTCAGTTTAGGAGTGTTTCTTCATACCAGTCATACTAATAATTAGAGTTAAACTGAAAGTGTGGAAGAAGTCAGAGATGTTTCCTCTTCAATCTGTAACAATGCCTTGAAAGAACCACAGAATGAAGATAATTCATTTGACAGGGAGTAGATAAAGCACAAGTTAACAAATAGTAAAGTGATGTGAAGCTGCATGGAGTTTAATGGTGCTCTTCTTGTTAAAACAGCTGAGTGTCTGATATGCTGTTGCAGTCTTAATTCCAACAACCTGGCAGGAAATGAGGCAAGGCAAGGGCAACTCAGGCTCAGTAGTTTTTGATCATCACTTAGTTGTCTGACTTATTTCCACATGATCCTATGAAGATTCTCCTTCAGTCTCTAGACATTCAGGATTACCGCAGTTTACAACTTTCTCTTACTAGATGAAATCAGAAAAGTCCCCAAGTTCCCAACTGAGTGATGACTGATCTGCTTTGGTGAAGGAATCCCTGCTTTGAGGAGGTGCCTACACTATTTGGGTAGAGAAACACTGTTGAAGAGATTACCAGCTACAGCATATGCACACATGCAAGAAGACATCATTGCTATAAGAGTCTCTTAATACTGTTGCTCTTTTTTAAAAGCATTGACAGGGATGTTAGTGGGCACTGTGATGCTCCTTCGAAACACTACATAAACCTTTGGTTATTAGCTTACCAGCTGTCAGTCAACTATGTCAAAACCAATATGGGGAACTGAGGCCAGAGAGAACAACAGTAAACTCATGAAACGCTCAGCTTAATTGCATCGGTTTTCCTGTCCATCCCTTCAACATACCCATTTCCCTTTCACAAACTTTAATAATTACCAGAATGTTCCCAGGCCTTTTCTGGCCTGTCCTACTTCTTCTCCTGGCTGTGGTCCCACAGTTCTTGGCCCTGGCCTCTAAGAGCAGAGCTACTGGCTGACCAGCAAAGTAGTACAATGAGCAATGGCTGTGGAAATCAGACTGAATTCTCTCCTACTAATTTCTCCTTGACTAAACAAAGGTAATGAAAACCAGAAATGAAATCAGAAAAGATGACTTGGGTGAAAAGGTCAATGAAGACCAAATTCTGCAAGTGAATGTAAAAGAGAGGTCGGGCCACACTGTCCAGCAATATAAAGACCAAGAAGTTATATTGCTGCTATCTACAAATAAATTTATCTTGAGATACAAAAGTTACTTAAGCCAAAACACAGTAAATGTAACAAAATGCAAATCAATCAGCTATGAGCAGCTCAAGGCTGGAAATGAGAAGGACCATTAATCATCTAAGGCATCATCTTTTTGAGCACACCCTCTGATGGAAAAGTGAGGGGAAACAATGTTTCTCCTAAGTTTATATGGATCAAGATAAAATAAAAGTGCAATAAAAAGTGGCTGCTTCTACCATTTGAAGCTGGATTTTCTAAGATGAAATATACTTCATGTGGATAGCACAGTTTCTTAAACTACATGCCACTCTTCCTTCCTTTGTTACAAGGCAGGATGGGTATTCGAAATATTTTCCCACTGTAATGGGAAAGCTAAAGTACAGAAAAGGCTGATGACTACTAGCCAAGCCATCTCTGAGCTCTCAGTGACGCCCTGTAGACTCTTTATATCCATTCCTGTTATATCATATAAATGACTAATTTTTTCCCTCAAGCCATTATAGTCTATCATTTTATTATGACTGTTCTATATCCACATCAAACTTCATAGCTTTAGAGCATGTTAATGCAACATACCATGGGGGCCCCTGCAGCCTTGTCAGTTTTGTCTAAGATAAATAAGCAAAGTTAGTAAGGACTGCAATACCTTTTTTGTGCTACTCTACACTTACACTACACAGTACAGTAATAGGACTGGACTACTGCAACATAAAAGATCATCCCATTGCAAACAATTATTTAATATTTACCTAGAATTCTGGTTTCTGTTCCTTTGATAAAAAAGTCCTACCCCCCACCCAAAGAAAACCAAAGCAAAACCAAGAAAAACAGACATTACTATGAAAGAACAAAAATAAATAATTATCTCTGTATTTCTTACATGAAGTGCTATCAAACATTAGTGGCTTTATGGTTTAAAATAGGAAAGGGTCACTCAGTTAAAACACTACTGTGGTATGACCAAAGTAATTCAGTAGCTAAGGAGTGCTGGGGCCAGAGTACCCCTTCCGATATTAGCAATTAGCTTAAGCATCCTGGATAAAAATCTACATTACTTTAACTATCTAAAAAACAAGCTGGTAGTTCTGCAAACTATCATGGAAATATCCCACACACATGAAACAATGGGTACAATACTGTTATTTCCTTTGTAGTACTATCAACATTCACATCAGGGAGACAGAGCACAGGTGCTTTGTGTAATAGTTATACTTCTATATATCCTACGAGTAACACTGTTCAGAATCAGAATCCACTTCCATGAGCTGCTCTTGAATTCCACTGAAAGTGAAAGCCAATTTCCACGAGGGCACTGGAAATACTCATTAGTACACCATATGCTTACCCAGGGAGTTGGAAAAGAAGAACACAAAACACAAAAGGATTTAATTTCTGTTCATTTTCCTGTTTCCAATCTATCATGCTACCATATAGGTAAATGTAATTTACTTTTTATTTTAAAGAAATATGTGTCATTCTCCACTGAGAATCAAATTCTCATCACGCTACACAAGGGACTCCTGCACTAATTCATATTACTAACTACATGGAACTGCTGCTAAAAATCTGCTTCTTTCTCATTTGCAGGAAAAATCCTGTCATATGGAGAAATGATATCCCAGTGCTCAGAGCAGA